TCTCTCACTCTCACCTAGGGACAATTTAGAGTCACCAATCAGTCTAATGTGCATGTTTTTTTGGTGTGTGGGAGGAAACCAGAGTTGGTGCAAAATCATGTAAAATAATTTATTTTATGTAAACAGTCCATGGCTCATCCATCAATCAGCCAATTGTGTCATGTCCAATCTTACTTTGAAAAACCGCAATATAGCGAATCCATGAAAAACGAAGTGAGGAACTACTGTACTTAATGTATCACAAGTTTTTCAGTTTACGATGATTAAAATGGCTCCATCATAACCATCGCGTACAAACTGCCATTCTAATAATACGTTTTCTGCATTTAATTCACTGTGAGTGTTGTTTATCCGACACGCTATGAATGCATCACTAATCCCTGCCCCCTCCCCAACCTGTAACTTTCATGCTGCACGGAACATGTGCACATAGACTTCAAGATAGGAAAAAAATATGGCGACAGCAGGAGTTTCAGGTGAGCGGGTGAATGAGATGGTAACTGATGAGGAGTCAGACGAACTAGTTCTGAAGAGAAACAGAACTGGGTCAATAATCTGGCAGAGGGTGAATGAGATGGTAACTGAAGAGGAGCCAGACAAACTCGTTCTGAAGAGAAACAGAACTGGGTCAATAATCTGGCAGTGGTTTGGATTTTATGAGGAGAATTGAACAAAATGTGGTAATTTGCAAAACGTGTCGTAAAACCACTGTCACAAAAGGTAGCAGTACCACAAATGTATTTCACCACCTAAGAAGTCATCCACTGCAGAATGAAAAATGTTGTAAACTCTGTATGTCAGTGTCTCCCCACACACCAAAGAAAACGTCTAATAAACTAGCTGTGGAGCAGATGACACTAAGTAAATTGATTCTGATTTTGTATTAAAATTCAAAAAAACATGAATGGTCTGTTAGAATAAAGTACACCAGCACCATTTTACATACTACATAGTTTAAAATGACACTAGAGGTTATTTAGAAATATTGTGATACATATATCATGTATTGTGATATATCAAAATAATATTGGATTATTAGATTTTCCTCATATTGCCCAGCCTTATATCAGATACAAATCATTCTGCACAAAATCCCCAAATCTCAGTATTTTTAAACTAGCTTTTATTTTGAAGGCAAGTGGGTGTTTATGTCCGCAGCCTCTTGTGTGCGCACTGCAGCAGAGTCTCTCCACAGGTAGTGGAGCATGTGACAGATTTGAGTTCCTATCACAGTAAAAAAAAAAATGTGCTGGAGAATGTAGTTTGTAACAAAACATGGACTTTAAGGTGTTTATTTACTAAAATGAGTGGAAAAGCAATGAGATTAGTTTGTGAAAAACAGAACTCTGATGCTGCTGATCTGTCGTGATCCTTAACAACAGACTAAACACAGAAAATACACATTGGAAGATTCACTGCCCAAACTGTAAACGAGGCTTCTTCTTCTTTTTTTTTTTACCAAGACTGGAACATTCAGGGATGGAGCAGTCCAGACTGCTTTTGTGATACCTCACATATGAGGGGCAGCAAATCCAGATGTTAAAATGACTACAAAGCCTTACATTAGAAACTTGTAAAATACACATTTGGTAGATCTGAGTTCAACCCGTTTGTTCAGCCCAGTCCTAGTTCTGGATGTGGCCTTTTGGAGAAAATAGTGTCCCATCCTTGGTTGAGAAGCAAAAGTTAC